TATACCTGATGGAAGGGTCAAAGTTCAGAACAGTGCAGTGGATAATAGTCATTTTGCATCCAGCATTATTTTTGAATGGCTGAAATGCATCGGCATAAAGAGCTATGGCAATGTCGTACTTCCCACTGAATAAGGAGGCCCGCATCTTTTGGTACACTGATCCATCCAGGACATCACAAAGCTTTCCTTCAGAGTGTACGTAATTATGTCGGTAAAGTAGAAGATCGCGTGTTTCGGGATTGTGTAATAAATATGCAAGTTGAGAAGCAAGTGAAAGCTGCTCAATTGTTGCTCGTGGCAACGTGTTTGAGTCAGCAATGTATCTCGGTGTGGAACAGTAATCGCATACGTTGCTGAAATCAGCTTCAGTGTACATCTTGCAACTTTTTTCGCAGATGTGGTAAATTGTTGGCTGGACTGGATAGATATCTTCCATCACACTTTTCGATCGGTATTGTGAATGTACATGTTCATGGGCTATTATATGGGTTGTCAATATAATCTATCTCGCAATCCAGTATGCTGACAGTGATTGACATACCAGGATCAATGCTTGAAATGATCTCATTCATAAGACCAAGGTATTCCATGTGTGCTGCTCTGGAAACCGGAAAATTTTCAAAGATCCGCTGTGCTTTCATGCTGATAATTTCCATCGGTCTTGGAATGATGGCATCTGAAAATTCGAACCTCAGTAGCTTGCCGCTATTGCTGGTTTCACTTCTGTCCCTTTCTGCGAAGTCAAAAATGAAACTTTGATAGCTGCTCTAATCTTGTGTTTTGCTATATTACGAATACGTACCATCTCCTCTCGGTATCTGCTTTGGCTGTTCTTGTTGTTCCTCGATTTGAATGGTGTTGGGTAATTCATTTGGGTGACAGTAACTTGTTGATGCATGCAATGTAGTACTGTAACTTTGTTGCAAATAACTAGCATCTATCCTATGCCCGTTAACGATCGCCGCATCACTCTCACGTTCAATAGAATCTTCCGGTTGATCGGGCGATGAAAGTACTTGTTCGAGATGCTGTCTCTGTAATGGCCTGATGCAAAAAGACACGTTCAGTTAATTAATTAACCATGTCGAAGTGCTAGCTGCATTACCTCGAAACTAAGCTAGAATCGGCGCAATCATCGGTTCTTCTCTTTTTTCTCTGATATTCACGAAGACAAAGCGCTGCATGCGTGCGGAAATAGTCTTTATTAACAGCTTGGCGACACCAACCGCATGCTATGGTTTCTCCAGGGTTCAATGATCGCTTTTGGCGTTTACGATACTTGTTTGGCAGCCCAGAAGTCATTATATATTTGTTTAGTAACAGAGAAAAAGTTGTATTGTAACGGAGCTCTTTTATATAGATTGCAATGAAAAGTGGAGTGGTGGTGGTACAGCTGCGGAACGCGTAGATCGCAATGAACAGTGGAGTGATGGTGGTACAGCTGCGGAACGCGTGTTGGCGACGCGCAAACATAAAAAAAAGATTGTTCAGCCGTTTTGAACTGTGCGCTTTCCGCTCTTCTTCCTCTTTTCTCTCTCACATGGCACCACTTCCCCGAGCAACTATTCAAGCTTTGCTTGAAAATATACAATCTCTTTCCCAGCGCTTTGAATCACTTACTGACAGCGTTAACCAAGTTCAAGAAACTCAAAGAGAACTTATCAACAGCTTAACAAATATCCAAGAAAATCAAGAAAATATGCGTCAAACCATTGACACTCTCATCAGCGACCAAGAAAGCCCAGCACCGCTTCAAGAAGATACTCAAGATGGGATACTTCTAGGCTCTACAAGGAGAAGAGATATTGACCGCCCGTTTCAGATCGTAAACGGAAGAAGGCGTGCGGCTGAATTGGACGTAAGGGTGATTGAACGGATGATACACCGCGAGTTTTTCCACGCAGACCAAGTTTGTGCTGAGAATGCCATCATCAATATGCATACTGCTTTGATGGAATCCGTTAACAACCTTCGCAATTCACTCGGCGTCAATGATTACAGTATTCCTTGGAGTGAGATTGATCGCACTTTGCAGCTTCAAGCCATCAAGGACCTGGAAGATAGCTTGTTGCCTTTGAGTATAGGACTTGATCGATGTAAAAACTCATGGGCTGCATCCTTTTTGATGGCGTACAAATGGGGTTATTTATTCCAATATCGTAAACGAAGGGTCAGTTTAGAGCGTGCTGCGGCGTCAAGACAAGTAAGGCAATGCGCAGCATGTACAGTATCTTTATGTCTACGTGTGTATGTCATTGACCATTATTTCTTTTATAACGTCATTCAATAACGCGCAGGATCCGGACAGCCATCAGCATTCAGACGATGCGACAACGTCGTCTTCAGTACATTCTACTGTCTCATCAAATAGGTAGGCCAATCGTGACATCAAATAATTTGATAGCTTAGCGCATGACGTACTGATAAAGCCTTTCTTCATGGGACCTGGAAGCGAAAATTATCAAGACCAAGACCGGCCTACATGTCGCCGCCGCCGCCGTTTTCACTAACATGATATACCGTATACTGTTTACATATAGGTACTCTTTGGACCCTTCTTCCCTTGCAATCCATTTTTTCTTTTTTCCCAACATGTCTAACTTTACATAACTTCCTGCTACGTCTTTTTAATCACGTTTCTTCTTTATCTATGTATATTTCTTTTACTGTATATCTTGACACATACATGTATGTGTCTCTCACTTTGTTATATCTGAATATGTGTAGTCTTTTGTTCAGTTCCTCATTGCAATAAAACAAATACCTCTCAATATTGGATTCGCACAGCAATAATCTCATAATAGCCGATACTATAATTGAAGGATTGATGCATGAATTATTATCGAAATCTAAGTAGGATTCTTGGCTCATGGAGATAGCAAAAATTACTCGTGAATCATCGCTTCCAAAAAAGAATAACCATTACCCTTAAATTACAGCATCTTCCAGAGAATAAAAGTTATCATTTGATTATAGTTTCTACTCTTTAATAATCCAATAAAATTAAAACAAGAATAAGGATAGAAAATGCATTTTTCTATAATTAGTCTACCCTAAATTTCAAGGTTTATTATACTATGTATCAAAGGATACTATCATAAGATTTTCCGCTGTGACAAGAAACTGGTCGCACTGGTCGCAATGGTTCTCCTGCTCGGTGTCTGTACTTTGTTGACGTTGAACGCCAACAAAGACAAATACAAAGTCTGAAAAGAGTAAGCCAGCACCTATCCCCGTGACAAGCATTCAACGATGTCATTTTAGCATCAAAGTGCATCCGGCAGATACTTGCAGAGTCTTTAGACTCTCAAGTTACCAACTGCTTTGGGTACGGTATTGTCGAGCTTTGCTCTTATTGCCAGAAAATCAAAGGTATACACATAGTTTCATTTTACTATTAAAATTATTAGACACTTAAGCTTCCAACCTATTTGTAGATTCTCCTCTCCCTCCTTCTACTACTGTCCGCCCCTCAATGGATTGGATTATCGATCACACACCACCATCAATTGTACGTATATACAAAGTCATCTTCGTTATTACTCTGTCAGCATTAGTACTAATCTATACACCTTTCCTTAGCCGACCCCCACTGACGCATATCTTGGTCTTTCTCGAAAGAGAAAGTATATATCGGATGCTGACAATTTCAAGTCAGTTATGATGATAGCTAAGGATCACTGCATACCTTGCTTGTTTACTTTTGGCATAGCCGAAAGTGAGCATACAACCTCTCTCCAGTGCATTGCTCATATTGGTCAATGTTTCCGTTGCTTTGGTGACCACTATGTCTCTAACCCAGCATGTGTAAAACCAGTAAGGGAGGGCTTTTGCAAGAAATGCCTTGTGCCTAACCAGTGGAACCAAACCATCTTCCATGATGGTAACTGGTCGAACTGTAGTGGTTCATATGAGGACCTTTTGTACCGTCTCTGCTGGGCAGCCTATCTGCGTAAGCCCCAATTCATACGCCAAGCTGGCTATAGTAAAAACCACCTTACGGCAATCGAAATACAACAAGACTTTGCCTATTGGCTTATAGCTACTGGGCCCCATACATATCCAAATAACGCCATGTATTTAGGCCATATAATTTTATCACACTTCTTCATCACATAGAACCTTTACCTCTCTTCTCTCCTCTTTTCGATTTTTTATATATACTATTATCATATCTTCTTCTCTGCTCCCCTTTTTATCTTTTATATTAGATCTCTCTTGTCTCTTTTATCTTGTATCCCTTTCTCTCTTTTTGACTCTTATCCCTTTCTATTCTTATATTCTCAAATATATTTTACTTATCAAATGGATTTATACTTTAAAAAAAAGTTGGGGTAGACCTAGGTCTACTAGGCATACTTAGTTGAGATTACCCTTTGCTCAATATTAAATGGCTTACATCTCTACAACGTATTGATGAAGTAGGACTTTTCATCATAATAAATCGTGTTGCTGGACCATTTTTTTATCCAAAGATCAAATACAAATTGTGAGTATACCTAGGGTATACCTAGGGTATACTGGGCATACTTGGTACAGATTGCCTTTGCTCAATAATAAATGGCTTATATCTCCACAACCTATTAATTAAGTCGGACTTTTCCACATAATAAATCGTGTTCCTGGACCGTTTTTCTATCTAAATATCAAATAGAAATTTTGAGTATACCTGGGGTATACCTGGGTATACTAGGTATACTCCAGCTACTAAGTAATCGCTGTGGCAATTCTATATGTCATTTCCCCCCCCGTTCCCTTTTCGTTTCTACATTTTTCTTTTCATACCCATGGTTCCCTTTTCGTTTCTGCGTTCCCTTTTTGTTCAATCTTGTCATTCTCCCACCCATTCCTTTTCCGTTACTATGTTCCCTTTTCGTCACCGCGGTTCCCTTTTCGTCCTCTTCCAAAAAGAGTTTGTCATTGTCATTTTGCTTTCCCCTGCTTAAACGTGTCTGACATAGATTTAGGAAAATGCGGATCTATTGATTTCTCCTTTTTTCATGACAACATTTGCATCTGATTGGCGTTTCAAAAACTATTCTGATTGGCACGAAAATTTGGTTCCAAATGGCAAGAAGACGGCAAATAGACTATACGACGAATATCACTCTGATTTGGTCAAGATAAAGGCGTACTCGGGCAGTCCTCATACCATCAAGGGTTTTGTTGGCCGATTATTGAATGAAAAGGTAGTTAGTGAACAAAAGTATTGGAAAGCTATTGATTTTTCTTGTGTTGTTGTAGGAAAAAAACTATGATCAAGAGCCAGTCAAGACAACTACCATTTACAAAGACAGCATTGTGGGGGGCCACAACAATACTCTGATTCACACGCATGACCAAGGTCAATCTTCAGGTAAGAATTTCGTACTTTATTTAATGATTGATTATTAACATTGATTTTTTGATTCTTTCACAGGCAAATCCGACGGCAATAGTGATGATCAGTCGTACCACACTCAGAAAGATGGTAAGACAAACGTATTTCTATTTTATTGTTAGATATTATCAATATATTTATGTTTTTCTTTTTGATTGTTCATAGATGCCACCAGTCAAGCTACCCCTGATGTGCGTCGTCCTCCTCTCAATTCAGCCAACTACAATACCACAAGCAACTCCGGTCCCTCTAATAGCTACGACGACGAACTTGACTATGAAGCCACTCCAAACACCATTGATACCCATCCTGATGCCGACGATGTCTGTCCCTCTGATACACTTCTGCTCATTTCGCCCCCAGTCTCATCCTTTGACGAATCCACAGCCACGTCCACCTCATAATTGTCATTATCATTACAAGCACCACATGGAGCTCCGTTTATCGTGGATCGTGTAGACATCTCTGAAAGGTTTTATCGTTACAGCAATATGTCTTTGATTTTGTGAAAACCAACAACTTGACAGTAGAATCTGACTCTTATCTTATCCTTTCGATGTCATCAATTCTTCTGCTGCAAAACAACAATCGACTTAACCATGCCATGATTCCCTTTTTTGGAGACAAACTCTACAGCAAAATCTGCAAGCACAACCTTGGCGAATGGAACATGACTCTCAAATTCCCTGGAAATGTCTTGCTGGAATCTATCATCATTGCACAGAACCTGTATGACGAAACCACTGATCGAATCAATGCGTGTGCTTCACTACTTATCCTGGCAAGCACCATTGATGATCCTATCGACAAAAGGCTACTGGTCTCGGGCGTCCTACTATTAGTTGTCTAACCAATTATAATCTACTAGCTGTAATATAGATAATAAAATTGCTATGACCGGTATAACCATCAGTGGCCGAAATAATTATTGATTTACAATAAAAATAATAAAAATTGAATTTTTTTATTTATATTGGTAGCCTCCCACGAGAAAAAAAAGAGCGATTGTTTAAAGTACATAACAATAAATAAAAATGAACACAACACAACACACTGAACAACTCGATATTGAAACTAAAAATTTAATTGATAATAAATGGACTTTTCTTGATAAATCTTGGCCTGAAATGCAACATAGATTTAATCATAGAACAGCTATTAAAGATATGAAGAATAATACAATAGATGATATAAAGGATGTATTACTTCATAGATTTGGATTTATACCTGTATTTTATTTTCTTACAGTTTTATATGGAAATGTTGAATATCCAGGGCCATACTGCGAGATTGAAAAAGGACTTGCATTATTATATCATATGGTATCAGGTGTATCAGGAAAGGATATGCATACTGTTATGCCATATGCAACATTTTATGATTTGTATAAGCGGTTCTGGATTACTAACTATAATGAATTGAATAAAAAGGTAAAACAAGATTTAGATAGTATGTTCTCATCACCACGTATTCGCATTCTATCAGCAATAATAAACAATCCAGATGGTTTTAAGAATATTACACTATTTATTGATGGACATGATAGTAAAATAAAGTATTATAAACCAAATGAGTCACATTCACAGTTATATTCATATAAATTAAAAGGGCCAGCTGTACGTACACAAGTTATACAGGATATGAATGAAATAATTACACATGTTTCAGTATCTAAAAAATGTGCTATCAGAAATGATGGTACTATGTTTATTAATATGAAACTATATAAAAAAATAAGTGAGGCAGATTGTTTAGGAATGGATGGTGGATATAACTTATTTATACAAAAGTTTAAAGATAATGCGACAGATGCTGGATATAGTTTTTATGACCGTAATTTTTTACATCCCATAAGAAAAGAACCAGGACAAAAGTTAACAATCAATGAGACATACTTTAATAACAAGTTTGGATCATTTCGTTCCACAATAGAAGCACAGTTTTCTATGTTAGGCTCTAAATTTGAACGATTTAATAATAATCGTGCAGCATTGCAAATATCTGATATAAGATATTATAATATTCAGTTTCGTGTTGCTTGTACTCTTACTAATATATGGCGATTTGTAAATAAGTATAATATAGAGGTAGAACCACATCATAAATTATGGTATGGAAAAGATTTTGAATTCCCAAGTAAGAAAAACAAACTTGACTTAGTATTTTCAAATGAGCAAAAAGTAAATACTGAATATAACGAAATGGTTGACATGCAGCAGAAATTTCTACAGCTTAACATTAATCAATCAATAGATATGGCTATAGATAGTGAGGACGAAACTGAAAATAATACATCTAAACGCAAGAGAAAAAATCAAAGAGAACAGAGAAATATAGCACATAGTAATTCATATGAAATTGAGAAGATTGTAGGACATGTGTATACTGATACAGTAATAAGTACATATTTGAGGTTAAGTGGGTTGGATATAGTGTAAAGGATAATAGTTGGTTAACAGTTGATAAGTTTAATTCCCGGGAAATGCTACATGAATATATGGCCATATATGGTCTTCAGCTCTAAATTAATTTCTTACTTATTTGCTTATTAAAAAATTTCATATTGAAACTGGCCGCATCAACTTTGTGTTTACTGGCCCAATTATATTTATGTTTTATGTATTCATCAGTTATACTTGTACTTATATTAGTATCTGTTGATTTATTTTTGACGTTAGTTTCTTTTGTTATATCTATATTATCTATTATAGCCTGTTTTATATCCTTATGCTTTTCAAAATATTCTTTTGGCTGTATTTCTTCTACTATTTGCTTGTTTCTCCGTTTATTTTTAATGTGTCTTTTTTTCCTTTTACGTTTTGGTATATTATTTGGTATGTTGCAGTCACTGCTTTTCTCTGATTCAGATGTACTTACATCTATGTATTTATGTTGTCTATATCTTCTGGTGGGTTTTCCCAAGCAGTAGTATCATTTACAACATCATCACATTTTATATTATTAAACACATCTTCCCAATGCCTATAATCTACTGATGATGGTACCTTTATAGTTGACCATCCTCTATTATTTTGTTGAGGTGGATTATATTGTTTATTGTTCTGTGTATTATTACTATTATGTTTTTCTTCTTGTTCCTTCATATATTCTTCTATGTGAGCTAATTCTTGTAGTTCCTCTACTGTTTTATCCATCGGTGTATATTTGTTAATATCATCCTGACCACTATTATGTGCATAACGGATAAATGTATGCTGATCTTATTATTTGTTTTCGAATTCACCTTTGTATAAGTCCTCATACAGATCCATGTTTTCATAATACATGAATTTATTTTCATAATCCTTCACCTTCATTGTGTATGGATTCCATATTATATGACCTTTACGGTTCTTATCAACATAGATAATATATAAACGATTGAGCGTTGGCTCTAACTCATATACTGATTTGTTTTTGTATAACATGTGCGGCATATAGTTACTATTCAGTATTATTGGCATATTTTTCTTTTTAGTTATTGACTTTGTGAATTTGCCATTAAGTTTTAACCGTGTTCCTTCTAACATTTGGTTTAAAAATGTTAATTTGAAATCAGAACCTGTTTCTTCATTATACATAAAATCATAATCATCATCCTTATAATCTGACCAATCATTTTCTTTATTCATTAGATATGCTCGATGGCCACCTTGTTCTAATACATCAATGTTATATGTCTTACCTACATTTGATGGACCTACAATCCAGTATTGTGGTATCTTATTTTTACCACCAAACATTGTTTCAATCCTAAACATAGACCACATATGTAATTTATTTCCAGGGTTATTTTCCATATCTGCATCATGAAAGTAAGAATTTAAATTTGATTTTACAGTATCATATTTCCATAGTAATTCTGGATATATTTCGGTTGCCTTCCGCATATTAAGCTGCTTCGTAATTAATTGATATCCAAGTAACTGCTGGTGCATTTTTCTGGTCTTAACTTCATAATTTGGATCCATATTATAACAAATATAATCTTTTCCTTTCATACAGTAGCTAATGGACTTTTGTGGATTACTACCTGGTTTAATATTTGGAGTAACACCATCGATAGTAAAGAATTTACGTGCTGTTTTTGTGTCGAACCGCTCATTCATTTGTATCTATATATGAACATGTTTCTCACCAGTTTCTGGTGTAATTTCATCACATGCAATTGCCTTTTCAATTCGATAACCAATACGTTCATGTTTTATAAACCATTCCATGATTTGTTCTTTTGTTAAATGGAAGTCCTTACAAATATATGTGAACAGGCCTTTAGTGTTTTGGAATCGGAATTCTTTGCCGCCCTGTGAGGAATCTGCACCAGAGGTGTTACCCTCTAACATTGCATCGGAAAATTGAGGATTTGAGGATTTGAGGAATTTTGCAAAAGCCCTAATCCGTCCCATTATTGCAGTACGGTTCTCGTCCCTTACTTCCTTTGTTATGTTAGCCTTTTTGAGGTCCTTTTCGAGTTCGACCCTCAGTTGGTCAGCAATTGTTTTTTCACTAACATCTTGATGATGTTCAGTAAGATGCTTTGCTCTTTCTATTAAGAGCGTCAATGTTATTCCTAAAATAGGAATAAATTCAGCCATAATGGCAATAAATGTGAGGAGGTTCATTTGGTCCATGTTGTGTTTTCGTTGGGGTAGTTTTGTTAGAGTGCTAAAAAATATAACAAATATATTTTGCTTTATATTCTGTGGTGTTATTTTTATATTAAAAAAATTCAATTTTTATTTTTTTTCAAAAATTTAAATGTATGCATGCCAAGACATTCGTGCATGAATTATTTCAATAAAAATTAGTTTGGCTATCCTGACATATTTCAGCTAATTAGTCATCTAGGGTTACTAGACTGCATTAAAATCATCATAACCATGGCCGGTCCCCTTAGCATCTCTACAAGTTATCATCATAGTTTTGCTTTACATGTATAGATGATACTTACATCTTGAAAGTTCTTTATTAGTCAAACGCAGATGTTCCTGAATTTGATCCCACTCCAACTTGTTATTGACAAGTTCTTCGATCCATTTACGTGTTTCAGCAGGGAGTTGTGAGCGAGTAGCATTAGTTATCTTGGTAGGGTCATGGTGTTGATGTTGCCAGTGATATACAAGTTTGATTTTGCCTGAGAATAAGTATTGAATACGGTATCGAGCACGACAATCTACTTTAATAGATAGTTTTGCAAGTCGACGTTTTTTGATGGGAGCAGGTTCAGTTGAGTCTATAGGCAGAGCAGGGGCAGCTGGAGCCAATGTTTCTCTTGAGTGATCACAAAAAAAGTGATACTACGTTCAACTGTCCGAGGACGGCCGGCATCTGAAGCCTTGGGTACGGAGATGTACTTGTTGTTGGTGATGAAGTTGGCATGCTGCTTGGGGTTTTCTTTAACCCACTCGTCAAGTTGTTGCTGGTTGTCAAAAGTCTCTGTAACTACTTCGGTCGGGTAGGTGGGAAAGACACAGACAAGGTATCCAAGGCTATCAGATGCAGAGGCCATTGTTGTAGGTGAGCAATTGACAAAACAACAAAGGTACAGTTGTGACGCGTCGCTGTGGGAACTTGAAAAAATTTTACTCAGTGATTGAAAACTTCTCTGATGTAATTTTTCTTGATGAATAATGAAACTGCCCCCAGATGGGTGCACCCCTTTTCGGGTTCCTCAAATAAGGGGATGCAGGGGATGCAGGGGCACCTTTTTCTTTCTTCTTTAAGCTACAGCATCTTTTACTTCTTTAAGCTTGTTCCGTCAATGTTTGGATGCACAGACTTAAGTTTGTCCCAGGCGGCATGCTTAGCCCTTGGATTACAACAAACCAAAGAACAACGGCTTCAAGCAGTTGCCAGAATACAAGAGTTGGATATGGTGCACGTACATGTTATAGGCGCCAATCCACTGTTTCCGAGCCTGGTGTCAACGAGGGTACAAGAGATGAATCCCTTTGTGTACATCACATATACAGATGATAGTAAGTGTGTTTGTAGTCTCATTAATAGACCTGTGGCTGACATAAATGTATTCAGGTGACCAAATTGGCGACTCCTCATCTTCTACCCCATGCACTACATCATCGACCGTTGTTACTAAAGAAAGTGTCAACGCTTCATCTTGGGCAAGTGATATAATTGTGTATCAATACAAAGGTAAAAGCAGCTTTTTTCCATTATAGGTTTCGTGTTTTGTAACGTTTTGTGTAGTCACTGTTTCTAAACAGGAAGCCCTGGAATACTTGAAGCAAGTCATGCTGCCAGAACGACCGTCGAACCATACCCTATTCGAGCACATCTTCTTGGTGTCAGCTCAGCAAAAATATATCTTGGAAAAACGCTTCGGACCACTCACAAACTCGACGAAGCAAATTGAGGGTTGGGTCAACGGCTGCAACGCGTGGGGTGAACGTACATCAAGAAAGTCAGATGGCAAAAAAGTAGAAGGTCGTTGGGGGGTAATGGGTTTAACACGAAACAGTTATTTACATATCCTCCTTTAGAAGGAAAGAAAACAAACATACTTCTTTCCTTCTAGATAGGATCTTATTCAGACATACCTTTTTGAGGTAAATTCTATAAGTATCATTATTTAATGAGAAACTAAATGTCTTTATTTTTTAAAAAAATAGTATTATTTAACTGATGCTATCTAATTTTATTAATTTATTAAAAAAAATGTTTACAAAAATGTCTTTTAAAATTTTAGCGATCGCCCTATTCCCCCTTCGTATCCTGCGATTAACTTTAAACTTAGTTTGGGTTATTTCTAGTTATTGGTTTAAAATACTTATTTATGGATATAATAGATTATTACAAACTTAATATTCTTTATTACAGAATAATATTCTATCCATTATTAAGTTTTTTTAAACATAAGTATTACTATTCTATAGATAAAAATCATTTTAGATTTGCATCTGTATTTTTAATTCCTAATATTCTAGTTGATTCTATTCATCTTTATTTTATAGAATTTATTCACTTCTTAAATGATAATCTTTCTAACATTTTTACAGGCTCTTTAGGTTTAGTATTACTAGGTTTATTAATTTATATAAGTTCTGCCCCTAATTTATCTAATACAAATCCTTCATCAAAAAATACTTTTAATGTTAATTTTGGAGATGGAGGTGCAGCATCAAAAAATCATCCATCAAATAGTAATTCTAATAATGATAAACTAATTACTTCTCCTGGAATTGCTGCTGCGGGAATTATTTCTAGAACAACAATAACTGCTGTAGTTAAAATTGCAAAAACAAATCCTAGAAATGGATTGTTTTTAGGTATTGTTGGTACTATTGGTGGTTTTGCTACTTATGGATTAGGTGAAATAATGAATCATAACTATGAAGAAAGAAAAAAAATGAGAGAAATGTATGGAAGAATGTATTATCACTCTATTAAAAGATCTGGTAGTCCTCCACCAGATGGAAACTTCAAGATTAATTCTCCAAATGAAAATAGTAATAATTTTGTAAAATCAATTTTAAAATTCATTAAAAATCCACAAGATGTATTTAATTTATTAAATAAATATTTTAGAGGTAGTGATAGAAGTCCTACTCCTATTTTAATTTTATGTATTTGTCTATTTACATTTATTGGAATTCTTGGTTGTTTCTTTTTAATTATAGGTATGTTAAGTAAACTAATTAAAATTGAAGAATGAGAATATATTAAGAATAGACCTTTATTACATAAATTAGTTTGCCTTATTATTTCATTAAGATATTGGAATAATTCTATATTATTAATAATTATGTTATTATGTCATATTAGAATTTTAGTTATTTACTATTATTTAAACGAATCATTCTGGGTTGATGATTTATATAAAAGATTATTATAATTATTTTATAAAATTCTCCCCTGGTACCTTGATTTATGCCTTCTTGTGGCGGTACTGTAACTAGAGATAATTAATCTTGAAACTAAATAAATCATTACTAAAAACTAGATGCTATCTAATTACTTACTTACTTTAAAATATGATGTTTACAAACTTATTCTATATTTTTAGCGATTGCCCTATTTTCCCTTCGAATACCTGCGATTTAAACTCTTTCACAGAGCTTATTTCAAGTTACATTAGGATTAAAACACCTGATGGTTTAATTACCAGTAATATCTAGATCAATACTCCGGATAATTTACTTTTAGCTTTATTACCTTCAGTAGTATGTATAAACAAAAACCCTTCAGAAAATAATATTTTAAATTCAACTTTAAATGATTCAAAAGATTTTTCTCTTACAAATGAAAATTCTAATGGTTATATTACTATTAAAGAAATTTTATCAAATGATACTTTATCTCTTAAAGAAAAACAATTAAATTTAGAAGAAAAATTACATTCTTTATGGTTGAAAAAACTAGAAAAAATGAGTAAGTCTAAGGATTTCTTAAATATAGATCCTAGGTTTAGAATATTTTTAAATAACTATAAGTTGTTAGAAGATGACTTAAAAATGTATTTTGAAAATGAAAAATTTATTAGAAACAAAAAATATCTTTTTATGTTTAAAGAAATAGATAAATCCTTGATGCTGTTCTTGATTTTAAGTTTGTTAATCCCCTTTATTATGAAATATGAAGATAATAAAGAACAATCAGTTGCTACTTTATTTCATAGATTAGGAAAAACTATATATAAAGAATGTTTATATCAAAAATATATTAAAGAAGTTGATGATAAATCTAAGGATATTGTAACTTTTAATTTATATTTGAAGAATTTTACAATGAATGAAGAGAATTTTATTACTATTGGTGGTACTGTTATTATTAGTTATTTGGATATGAAAAGTGATCTTTTCAATATCTTAGAACGATATGATGTTAAAAGTAAAAAAACTCATAGAGAAATTATTCCTAGTTACCAATTGAAAAAATATATTAAATATTTAGGTATGATTGATGGTCATGAATTACCTATAGTATATCCACCTATTTATTGGGAATTAAATGATAACAAAGAATTTAAGACATATAGTGGATATATTACTAATAATATTAAGAGTTTTAATCCTTTAATTAGAAGTAAAAGATTTACTGAATCAAATATTAAATTTATAAATAAAATGATATATAAAATGGTTAATTATATGTCATCTATTGGTTTCAATATTAATCTTAAAGTATTAGATTTTCTAATGAATCTGCCACTTAATGATGATTTAGTTATGAGAACATTACATAAGGAGACAGATGAAATGAGTGAGATTATTAAAAAGAATAATAAAGAAAAAGAATTTGAAATTACATCTCATAAAAGTAAATTCTTATATAATAATTTAATTTTAACTATTGCTAAGCTTTATAGAGATGTTGAACAATTTTATTTTACTTTCTTTTTAGACTAGAGAGGAAGAGTTTATTGCCAAGGGGGTGAATTAAATCTCTAAGGTGGTGAATTAGCAAGATCATTAAAGTTATTCAAAAAAGGTTATGTATTATCTGAAAATGGATTAAATTCATTAAAGGTTTATGGAGCAAATACTTTTGGATTAAATAAATTATCTATTACCAAAAGATTAGAATGGGTTGATCAACATTTTTCAGAAATCTTAGATTTAAATTCAGGATTATCGAGAAAAGCTGATGAACCTATGTTGTTTTTAGCTTTTTGTTTTGAGTTACAAGGTTATAATAAGGATCTATTAAACTTTATTTCTAGATTACCAATTTATTTAGATGCAACATATAATGGTGTACAACATTTAGCTGCAATGATTTCTGATTTTGATCTAGCTAGTAAAGTTAATTTAGTTGAATCTAATATGAAAGATGATCCTAATGATCTTTATAGTTTAATGTTAAATCCTATTAATGAAGAAATTAAGAAAATAAAGGAATGTGATTTAGAGTATGCCAGATTAAAGGGCTTAGTATTAAATAGAAAGATTGTAATAAGAAGTTTAATACTGGCTGTGGGTCTTGTTAGACAAGTACTTGGATGTCAACGTTATTGAGGACCTTGCAAAATACGAGCGACACTGCCGTCACCATCCGATGTCAACAATCAGCTACGCCTGAAAATCAAAAGGAGGAAAAGAACGTCTTAGCACTCGATGCAACCTTCTAAGCAACATGGTTCATCGTTTGCATACGAGAAGCCTCTGCACCAAAGTTTTCATGTCGCCCTATTGCAACGCAGATGAAAATTTGGAATCTCGTGACAGCACTGGAAACCAAAAAAATCACCTGGCTTTAGTTAAGAACTGCGATGGGGATATGACAAGTTACGTGAATGACTTTTCTATTTAATGCACAGATACTCATTCTTTCTTTTTTCAGCTTTAATGCAGTTGCTGAAAACAAAGTTCAAGCCCATCTGTTTGGCAGTCATAGATTTTGCCGGGTTAAGCACAGAGCCAAATGACATTCGTGCATTCGTCAGGTAGAGTAGACATATTATGAGGCTATCCGTGGATAAAATCAACTAATATGATACTGAAAAATAGGAAATTTACACAAATTGAAGAGATTGTGGTGGACCGCGGATTGACTTTCGACGTATTTTCGCGACATGACCTGCTGACGAAGGAAGAGATAATCAACCGTTTCGACCGTCGCACTAGCTGTGTCAAACGTTTGGCAATTCCTCAACTTGTACAAAAATAAAGAGAAAAGAGAGTAAAGAAGAAGAAAAAAAGAGCTCCCTTACCAAGCCTACCCCTCACCCCTCGAATTTGCTTTTACATTCGACACTTCCTTACCAAGCCTACCCCTCACCCTCGAAGTTGCTTTTACATACAACACAACGTACAGACCCTGCAGATAAGGTTGAAATCAATAATTAGCGATAAGTGCAAATTTTATAATAAATACAAATAAGAGTATGTTTTAATGTCCTGCAAAAACAAGTTGTTTTTTCACCCTCCCGTTCGCAACAATAGCGAAGTAAAATTATATTCCAAAAAAAATTTGTAGACCAAGTAAGGCGTCGTTCTCTGGACTTCCTATACGATTATGTGATTCAAACATGGTGATATTCACTTTTTCGTGCAGTGCAAGTATAGTTGTAATGCTTTGTCGCCATAATCCATCGTACATTCGCTCTTTTGGAGCTTGAGACGATAAGATAGCATTCATTGCTGTATGATCTGTGTGGACTGTAGGTTGGGCACCATGCGTATAACAATGAAAGTACCATAAAGATTGAATCACGCACATCGCCTCACGTCCAGTCACGCTATAATTCTTCTTGGCTAGTGCCAACGTTTTGCTAGCATATAGGCAACTGGTCTTGAGTTTTGACAAAACACTTCCAATAGCGACATCCGAAGCGTCACAATAGAGATCGTATGGCAAGTTAGGGCCGGGATAATATGCTAGCGTTGGAAGTTCAATGAGCCGTATTTGATATCTTGAAAGGCTGCTTCTTCTTTGTATGCCACTGCCATTCCTCGCTTTTTTGTAGTAATTTGTATATGATAAATCTTTTCTTGCTAATCTTGACTGTTGGTTGGCAATGATATTCATGACATGATGCTGCTTCACACGTAAGGCTTCCGGGAACGGTCCTTCGCCTTCCTCGAGCTGATACCACAGGTTAGCATCTCTACAAGTTATCATCATAGTTTTGCTTTACATGTATAGATGATACTTACATCTTGAAGTTCTTTATCAGTCAAACGCAGATGTTCCTGAATTTGATCCCACTCCAACTTGTTATTAACAAGTTCTTCGATCCATTTACGTGTTTCAGCAGGGAGTTGTGAGCGAGTAGCATTGGTTATCTCGGTAGGGTCATGGTGTTGATGTTGCCAGTGATATACAAGTTTGATTTTGCCTGAGAATAAGTATTGAATACGGTATCGAGCACGACAATTTACTTTAATAGATGGTTTTGCAAGTCGACGTTTTTTGATGGGAGCAGGTTCAGTTGAGTCTATAGGCAGAGCAGGGATAGCTGGAGCCGATGTTTCTCTTGAGTGATCACAAAAAAAAGTGATACTACGTTCAACTGTCCGAGGACGGCCGGCATTATTTCGGCGTGCATCTGAAGCCTTGGGTACGGAGATGTACTTGTTGTTGGTGATGAAGTTGGCATGCTGCTTGGGGTTTTCTTTAACCCACTCGTCAAGTTGTTGCTGGTTGTCAAAAGTCTCTGTAACTACTTCGGTCGGGTAGGTGGGAAAGACACAGACAAGGTATCCAAGGCTATCAGATGCAGAGGCCATTGTTGTAGGTGAGCAATTGACAAAACAACAAAGGTATAGTTGTGACGCGTTGCTGTGGGAACTTGAAAAAATTTTACTCAGTGATTGAAAACTTCTCTGATGTAATTTTTCTTGATGAATAATGAAACTGCCCCCAGATGGGTGCACCCCTTTTCGGGTTCCTCAAATAAGGGGATGCAGGGGATGCAGGGGCACCTTTTTCTTTCTTCTTTAAGCTACAGCATCTTTTACTTCTTTAAGCTTGTTCCGTCAATGTTTGGATGCACAGACTTAAGTTTGTCCCAGGCAGCATGCTTAGCCCTTAGATTACAACAAACCAAAGAACAATGGCTTCAAGCAGTTGCCAGAATACAAGAGTTGGATATGGTGCCTGTACATGTTATGGGCGCCAATCTACTGTTTCTGTGCCTGGTGTCAACGAGGGTACAAGAGATGAATCCCTTTGTGTACATCACATATGCAGACGATAGTAAGTGTGTTTGTAGTCTCATTAATAGACCTGTGGCTGACATAAATGTATTCAGGTGACCAAATTGGTGACTCCTCATCTTCTACCCCATGCACTACATCATCGACCGTTGTTACTAAAGAAAGTATCAATGCTTCATCTTCGGCAAGTGATACAATTGCATATCAATACAAAGGTAAAAGCAGCTTTTTTCTGTTATAGGTCTCGTGTTTTGTAACGTTTTGTGTAGTCACTGTTTCTAAACAGGAAGCCCTGCACTATAGGAAAATTCTTGTAAGCACTAAGTAAAGTAACAAGAATTCTTGTGGATTCTTGTGAATTTAAAGTAGCGGTCACACATTCACAAGAAAATTACAAAACGTTTTGTAGAATACCAAAGCGGTCACACGTTCACAAAACATTTTTGTGGAATATTCATTATATAGATTTTAAAAAATAGCTTTATTCAATTACATGATACTAGCTAAGGTTTATTAATTGATGGAATACTGGTCGAGCGTATATAGATGAAAACCACCCCTTTCTCTCTCTATATATATCACATACACTCTCGCTATATATATACGTGTATGTGTGTGTGTGTTTATACAATAATCAACTTTCTGATACTTTAACTTACCTTTTAATTATGTTTATTTTTGTGGGGGGGAGCAGCTCCGAGCCGCTTTGTAGTACGACGTCGTTTGGTAGACTGCGTGGAGGAAGGAGTAGGGGCAGGGGCAGGAAGAAAAGCAGAAGTGGAGACAGGAAGAGAAGCAGGAAGAGAAGCAGAAGAGACAGGAAGAGCAGAAGCGGAAACAGGAAGAGAGGCAGAAGAGACAGGAAGAGCAGAAGAGACAGGAGGAGAAGCAGGAAGAGAGACAGAAGAGACAGGAAGAGCAGAAGCGGTAACAGGAAGAGAAGCAGAAGAGATAGGAAGCAGCAGGAAGAGAAGCAGGAAGAGAAGCAGAAGCCGGTTCTTGTTGTCTACCTGAGAGTTAATATATATACAATTGTGGTTGCTCTAGTGTAGTAGTTATCATACCTCAACTTGCTGGATCTGCCGTAGTTATTCCAGCATTCTTGGACGATGTGGCGAGCTGCCCACTGGTCCTGGCAGACAGCAAAATCAATTCCCTGCTTCTTTGCCAGGTTCGTGAAAAGGCTGATAGCCCAGTTGCTATCCTTGCTTTGCAGCTTAGCAAAGTAGCAGGTCGCGCTGTTGTCAGCACGATCCCGCAATCTCTTCTCTAGAACAACCACAACACGCTCCCAGATGTGCTTGATGTCCGTCTGGGCTTTGATCAAAGCACCACCTTCAAACTGGTGGTAGCCTTGAAGGAGAAGGCGCTCGACATCATCCTTGTTAGCTTTCTTCACCATCTTCCCCTTGGTATTTAGAGCCACTGGGTGGGGAATGAGGGAAACCGTCTCAGCAAGTTCTGCTTCATCGACAACTGGCACCTCGACTAGGGATTGCGCCGTTAGCAGTTGGTCGAGCTTCTCCAGAATGATTGCTTGATTCGTCTCTACATTGATAAGACGATGCTCCATATGAGTGAAGACTTGGAGGAAATTGAGGTTAGCGTTGGAAGGTGTTTGGTTAGTGTTCATTTTTTTAAAAAAAAGTTTTTGGGAAGAAGAGAAGAAAGAAAAAAAAATTGCAGTAATTTAAAAGTATTTGTCACCTTAATTAACCAAGTGGCTATAACATATCGTTCAATTAAGACTTACCTATCATTTCATACTCATCGTCCACCATCCACCATGCCCATATATTGTTGCGATAACTGCGATGAGACCTTTAGGTCTGCAATAAAGTACAAAAACCACGTCAAAGAACACAAGTGGGAACAGTGCCGTAGCAGCAGCAGTTCGCCTCCACCAGTTACTGCGTTGGTGTTAGCACCCGACCTAACGAATGCCGATCCTGGTACCTTGATGGGAAACGCTAATCTCGAGGTCCCTCCCGAGATCATTGCGGCTGATCGCGAAAGTGACAGCGTAGACCACGAGACCAGTGACAACGAAAGCTGTGGCGAAAATAACGACGAAGGTAGCGACGTCGAAGCTATGCTTCCACTTGAGGACGCGCCAACTCGCATTAATGAAGGGGATGTTGAAGAAATCGATGTTTCAAATATCGAGCAGTAAGCCGAAGATAACAGATGGGATCTCGAACTATTGGCGATTGTTCTTATCTACAATCTTCTGAGGGATTGTCATGACAATCTGATTAGCTTTTGCATTCGCTTTGCGAAGCACTCTATCGACAGCTTCAGTAAGTAAATGAGTAGTGATCAATGTATATACATGTTAAACATTTTTCGTATGGTGCATACTAACTTGAATCGTTAATATATTTGAAATACCGACCCAAAAAAAGAAAGTGTATCAGAGTTGTCCAAAGTGAATTTTTTGAGATTCTGACCAGCAAGATGTGTTTAATAGCATATTATAAGCATTTCTTACTCGTTACTTTATGAAAAAAGGTGTTTTAGAGAGCTCTGATAGCCATCAAAGTTTTGTCGGAATATGAAAATTTACTATGTAGACCCAAGAATTCGACAAGGTGGGAGGGGTAGATCAGTGAGGTGATGTAGGCTATTACAGCCTGTGTAACATTGTATTTGTCATGGTTACACAAACATGTTATCCTCATCATCATACTGCTTTTTTACAAGGGTTGTGTTTCCCTCATTGATACTCGCTCATTGTGGTGAAACTACACTACTTTGAGTTTGATCCAAATAACTCAACCCATTCCATCTTCTTCGTAACCATTAAAATGCAGTAGAGAGAACACCACACACATGGATGAATCAAATATTACATAATTAGCACCATATTGATAATCTCTCAAACATGGATTACAATCGAGAATGACTCAGGACCAACTATTGTCAATACTTCGTTGCAATATAATATCGATAATCTCTTAAACATGAATCAGAATCGAGAATCATAACTCAGGACCAACCATTGTCAGTACTTAGTTTCAATCTACATTATCTGAGTTGAGCGAAGTGTACCTGTCAAAGAGCGGATACTAATTCCAGCACAGACAAAAGTGAGACTTCACCAAACAAGGAACGCACTGATCGAGGCAAAGATCACTCTTTACAATCGGAAGACAACGTCCATTATCATGGCCGACAAACTCAACCTTCCCATCCTTCTTCATCTTTGAAACATCCGAAACCCGGCATGTCCGCGATCCATTTATCAGTTCATCCGAACGGAAGTTTTGATAGCATCTCCAACAGTATATAAAGGGTTGTGAATTCATTTAGTGAAATTATCTCATATTTGACTCTCACTGTATTTCATATTGTCTTTTAATAATTATCCTTCTCTTATTATCTATCACAACCCGCGTTTATCACACCCATGCCCCCTCCAAACAAGCGACAAAGACGCGCCAAAGAACAGCGGAACAATACCACTTACAAGCATTTTGGATCCATTTCACCGTTACTTGAGGATCGCACTGTGCAAATCCCGATTGTTGAAGATCAGGAACTTGACGATTTCGAGATACT